GGCATTAACTTTTGTAGAGGCAATATTTATTTTATTACGTGAAATTGCCGTGTCTAATTTATATGTTTAAATTGATAGGTCACTCATAACCCTGAATGGTTCTGAGAAACCGAATTTTAATGTCAAATTTTCAAATTTAAGAGGCATATGTTATTTATAAATTAAGTTCTCTTGAGCTTTCGTCGAAAAGTATTTTAGAAATTTGCTTATTGTATTGATCATTATCACCTGTTTGAAATATTTTAAACCTGTAAGCTGAAATTATTTGCTTTAAATTTGCTTTAATTCCTTAAAATTTTGCTAATCGCAAGTAGTCTGTGTAAAGCATATAATAAATTACAATGCAATTTTGTGAAAGATTTTGATAGTAGTCTATGTCAAGCATATCATAAATTGCAATATTTTTTTGTGTTATTCTATTTAATTTTAAAGTGTGAAAGATTTTGTAAGCAGCTAATACATTTGCAATACTATTTTTTGTGTGTATGATCTGAAATTTTGGAATTAGCAATATGTCACATCTTGGGAAGGGTAGAAAACAGGATCTCATTCTGTCTGAGGAATTAGGTTTAGAGATTTCCCCAATGCAAAAATACAGGATCTTAAAAACCCCATTATGACGAAAAATTTGTCAAGGAAACGCTAGAGTCTATTATTGAAGCTCGGATTGAACAGTGCAGGCTCGAAGAAGCCAAAAGGGAGAGAGAGTTTGAATTGGAACGACTGAGGTTGACAAACTCCAACATCAGAGAAATTTCCCAGAATAATATTCCAAGGTCTATAAGAGAATTGAAAAATTTAATGCAGAGATATAATCCTGAATCATCCGACATTTCTCTATATTTAGCGATGTTTGAGCGTCAGGCTCATAAAGCGAATGTACACGAAGGAGACTGGGTGTCGCATTTGATGGCTTTATTGCCAATGGCCATTGTTTCTATTATTCTACAAGAACCAGAAGAGGAGCTTGATAATTATGCTTACGTAAAGAAAATTCTTTTACAACATTTCAAGTTGAGCCCATAGGCTTTTCGGGTTAAATTTGTTCAGCACCATCGGCATGCAGGTACTCGATGTAAAGATTTTGGCTTCGAGCTGAGGAATTATCTGGAGGAGTGGTTGAACGGAGGGGAAATGTGAGATTTTGATTCTTTGAAAGACTTGATGTTGACAAATCAAATTAAATGTTGCGTAAATGGCGAAATTTGCGAACATTTTGTGGATGATTGGCCGAATATAATATCTTCCTCTGAATAAGTCAGAAAATTAGATGAATATGAAGAAGTACATAGGTCCATTAAGAAACCGACAGCACTATTATTTGTTAAAAGTACTGTACTAGACACTAAGGAAAGGAAGAAAGGTGAGCCTAGAGATCGAATACGTTGTGGTGATGAAGGTGCGGTAGAAATGACTGCCGAGAAATGGAAGTCAGATACCCTTCAAATTCAAAAACAGAGAGCACCTAGATGCTATAAATGCAACTCAGAGAATCATCTCCGATACCAGTGCCCGCGATTAAAAGCTACGACGGAATACATCGAAGTCATGAATAATTTGGATATTTTGGGTACCCCAAACATGTGGCTTGACCCATATATTAGTACTGTGATAGTCAACGATCGAAAGATTAAAATGTTTAGAAATACTGGATCCACTATTGACTTAATAGGAAGGGATCATGTAACATCAAATATATTGTTAAAGGAAACTATCTTGATCAAGCAACCTTTGGACCCGCAACCGGTACGATTGCCTCTTGCACAAGTACAACTCGAAGGAGAGAATTTTAGGAAGCTACCAAAGCGGCAGTAATTAGCTAAGACCTCAATCAGGAATACTACTTATTGGGTAATCGAAGAGCTCAGTTGATTGACCAAAATATTAAGATCTTTGGTAAAGATAATGCAGTACAAGCGAAGATGCCCCAACGAGATGCAGCCATTAACCCAAACAAAAGAAGGGAGAAGAATGTCAAGGAGTCCGTACAGATGAAAAAGGGAAGTTTCCCCGTCGAGTCAGCTAAGGCCCGAGGCAAAGAAAGAGTGAAGTGTCCTCACCGTTCGGACAACAAGTCAAGAAATGGACAAATCAAGGTAACAAAAGCGGTTATTAACCCACGAAGTGCATGGGCTTCTTTAGATTTACGAAGAAAGCAAAACTTTTCTAAGAAAAAGACATTGGTCTGCCAGGACGAATTTTTGTCTGGAATCCTGGAAGAAAGAACTCGGAAAAGAAGGAGTGCAGGAAGACCCCGGAGCGTTTCTATTCACGATGCTGTTCTGAAATTGGAAGCTGAACATCGAAATCGAACAGATAACTGGCAAAGTAGTTTGGAAGATAGGAACAAAAAATTTAACCGTAAGTGGAAAACTCAGACATAATGAAGGCTCGGAAGTGCGAAAACGCACCAAATAAATTGAGATTTTATCTGAATTAGGTCTCAATAAGAGCCGAGAACTTGTTTCGAGTACCATAATTTTTTTTTTCGTTTATTGTAGTACTTTGTATTTGTATATTGTGTGTTGATTCTTTTAGAATTATGTAGGATTTATTGTGCTCCTTAGCTTTACAGTACAGTTGCAGCCTTGCAATTTGAGGTTGTTTATCGCCCAGGGAGGCTAAATAAATGCCAATGGGCTGAGTCGTCCAGAGGAAACACTCTGTGCTAGGATGTGATTCTTCGGTTATTGAATATGTATTTTTTATGATGTGCAAATATAATGCTAGAATAGTATACAAGTTATTTTTTGTTTCCTGTTAAGCATATTGTAATGTGTGTATATCTATTGAATTTATTAAGTTCTCGCCTCTAAGGGTAATGCCTAATTGACATATATGTGAACTATCTATTAGTGATATTATTAGTATTATTATTATTGAATGCAACAGTGTTCTTGTATAAATGTGCTTGAGGATATTATTTAGAGGTCAGAGATATTTATCTCCTGTGTGTTTTGTTTTACGAACTAGTGCAGAAGTTAGGTGAACTTTTCTCTAGTCTAAACTTGAGAAAAGTTCTTCCCAAATGGGGAAGGAATATAGCTGTAATGTCTTAAGCTATTTTATCGACCATCACAAAGTTCTCAGAAAAAGAATGACCACCTCGAAAGTTCCCATGGACAGAGTATTTCTTAGAGAATTCTCGGAAAGAGGAAGTGACCAGCAGTCATAAAACAATCTCAGCATTTTGTTCCTCTTATAGTTGTTCGAAAGGAGACATTGTTCAGTTCTCTTTCATCAGTTTATGGTTCAGTGTCTCAGACCACCCGGTTCAAGACCCCCAGTTGGAATTGAAAAGTTCCCACGTACTTTTTCCCAGGCTGTCTTCATCATATCCAGTTTTTAATCAAAGTGCTCTCACCAATCAAGAGGGCGCTTTTAAAAATCACGGATAAATAAGGATCCCTGGAAGTTTTACCAACACGCCCAGGACAACTTGAACAAAATCATGGAATGCAGTTCCAGAGAGAGATGAAGAGAAAATGTGAGAGTTAGTTGCAGTAAGTAAAGAGAGAAACCTCCTCTCGGTTAAGCTCGGCCACGAGCTTAATAGTGGATCCAGTATTTTTAATAGTGGATCCAGTATTTCCAGAGCTTAAATTTTTGCTTTGCTCTGCGTAGAGCGATATTAATATCTCTGCCAAGAGATTTACAGCGAGGTAGTCGGGTTCGCCGCTACCTAACAAAAAGCATCCTGCTTGGACACAGCTCAGTCCGGCAATCACCGGCTAAGAGATTTGATTTATTCAAGACAGCCTCATCTTGAATTATTTCCAAACAACAACTATAATCTTGGCTGAGTTCTAAACAGGAACTTATTCACCCTACTGTGAGAACAATATTTTATAAGTTTATTTATTTATAATATATATATATATATATATAATTTTTTTTTTTTTTTTTTTTTTTTTTTTGCATATAGTCTAGAAAGAACCCAAATAAATTTATTTACGCTACCTCTTGTTTTTCGAATTTTGAATGATTTTGCCATATAATCCCTCATGGTGACTGATAGGTAAAAGTTTACAATTGGATGCACCTTGTTTTTTGGCAATTCTCTTTTGATGCCAAGAAGGCACAATTTCAAGATGGTTGCTAGACAAAACCAAAATAAGAAGTTTTATTTCATTTCATCATAATTTTCTTCCAATGCTTGAACAATTTTAATTTTGAAGAATTATTCTTATTTATGCAATCACTATACTAAATCACTGTCTATTACCAGCTAAATAACATTATTTGGCATTTAGTATTATTTATTATAGTAACACTCAAGAATGATAAAAATAACTCATATTTTTCTGCGTTAAAGAAATTAATGTTTTTCAAAGAAATCTTGCTGCTGTAATTTTAAAACTTCTCAGTCAAACCTAAGCACTATTTTTCTTGACAACGAACAAAATCCAAAAATTTTCTTAACAACTGTCTCTGTCTCATATAAACTCCAAGATCAATCTAAAATTAAATATTTCGTAGAGGCTAATATATTTAATTTGAAATTTCAAGACCAAAAATAACTATTACAGTAAAAGAACAAGAGCACTGCAAACAGATATACATTAGTAGATAGCATAAGGCACGGCGCTGAATTCAGATACATTTTACTGAAATGAATGTTATGACATTCACTAAATGTATTATAACGAATATACCAGACGCTATATTTTATTCAGTACGTGAATAATGCAGCATGTTTCTGACTAATTTTCAGATATCAAAACCTAGGATTAATATAAAAACCCAAATTAAAATTTAACTGAATAATAAAGATAGATATTTTACTATACACCCAAATCTTCGTGATCTCAGATTTACAAATATAAGATTTATATTTTTTCATATGAAAAAAAATCTAATCTAGGACCTGTATACAATTACATAAATAACTTCAAGCGCTGGAGGGAAAAAAATAAAACTGAAGGTTTTAGTCAGCAGTTATAATACACTGATATGAAACTAACTTAAATAACAGGCAATTACAAAACATACACACTTACCTGCCTACGATCAATTCACAAGTGACAACAACTGCCATTGTCTGCACCGGCCTTCGCTCTTTTAGTGTCCCCTTTGAACAGCATGCACGCTGTTGCATAACACTATGTCATATTTCCAATAGTTATGAAATCTTAAAGGCTCGTTTCCACTACTGCGTACGAACGCGTTGCGTCAATTGAAGACACGCCTACGGCATCCGTACAAGCGTTTCCACTGCTGCCTATGTGTAAAATATTTTCATTTTCCGCCGCTAGGTGTCACTGTAATATTTTGGCGCAAGCAGTTCGCAAGCAAGGTTCTTTAATTATACTCGTTCGCAAGTTACGACGACTGAATTTTTCCCTCTTAAGCGAGTATTGTTTGTTTTGGATTTGATATGGAATTTTAGATAAGTAAGGTATAATGCATATTATGAACATCACGAATTCCATAGAAGCTGAACTAAATTTAAAAAAAAATTTTGTGTTTCTAGAAGCCTTAAATATTATGAAATAATATATATATATTAAAACTAAATGTACTGTTAGTGAAAAAGTAAACAAATAAATACATAAAATAAAAAGTTAAGGGATTAAAAAATAGTTGGTACTTTAAAAGTACAGAGCAACTGTAAGAAAGGTTCACAATATTTAAGCAAAATTTGCTATGCTTGTATACCGCTGACTTCAGGGTCATAGCTGGATAATTTATTAGAAATCTCGTTTGTTTTAAAATGCACTATGGGCAGTTATATTTTATACATAATCATAAAATATATTTTTAATTTAAACATTTTTAATTCATATCTCTTTTATACAAGAAGTTATAAAAATAAGATTTTTCTCTTATATATACACACAATTAGGTAAAGAAATGGAAATATTTAATAATTAATTCCTGCGCTTCTGCAGGAGAGGACTGAATTTTTAAAAGCAATTATTATAGTAATTTTTTGTTAAAAAAATGGTTAGGGCATTAATACTGTCTCATGTAATTGGAATGAAAGTTTAGAGTCGTAAACATCCCAAGTCTGAGCATGATATTACATTCACATAAAGTGAAGTGAACGAAAATATATATATATATATCTGCAGGGTTTCAAAATAATTAAATTTAAATAATTCTCTTGCGCCATTTGCTGCAAGGAAGAAATTTGAATTTAACAAACAGTTTCTATTCGTAAAAATTAAAAGTAATTAAATTTAAATGAAATTTAATGCAAACAAATAAAGGATTAATTATTGCTGCGAACTAATATACAATATCATTTAAATTCTGAGAGCATATGTAAATCAGTGCAAGTATCAAAATCCATGAATAAATATATAATTCGAAAAAATTTATTTATCCTATTATTCATTTATGCATTTTTTTAATAATTTTTTTTAGGATTAATAAGCTATCCTATTATTCCTTACGCATTTTTATAATTTTTTTAGGATTAATAATCTATCCTATTATTCACTTATGCATTTTATTAATTTTTTAGGATTAATATCTATCCCATTATTCACTTATGCATTTTTTATAATTTTTAAGGATTAAAAATTTTTGGAATTATATATTTATTCATGGATTTTGATACTTGCACAGCAATAATTAATCATTTCTTTGTTTGCATTAAATTTCATTTAAATTTAATTAACTTTAAATTGCTTTTTACGAATAGAGAATGTTGTTAAATTCAAATATATATGTACAGGATATGCTTTAAATTAGTTTATATAATTTTCAAACTTTTTTGCGGGAAAAAATTTAAATAAATAGAGCATAAATAAAACAATATATTTAATGCATATAATAATAGAAATAAATTATAAAACACGAATATAGATCAAATTGGAATAAAAAGGTAAGAAAGTTGCAGACATGGTCCAAAAAGCATATGGGATTCTAACTCACGACTCCAAAAAGTGGACATCGTTACCATTAGCTTTACCACTAAGCTAGGATTACACGAAGTCGCATGCTATTTTGGGTTATATACATCATCAAGTAAATCAATTCTTAAAAACTTAAGTTTTTTGGTCCTATTTCACTTTGCTATTGTCTGAAAAATTCACCAGAGTTTGTTCTTCAGCTTCTGTACATTTTTTGGAAAAATCATTATCTTTTTAATGTGGCGTTCCGATTGAAAGTTAAAACGGGCTGCTAAAAATATATTCATGTGCTTACAAATATATGTTATCCAAAAGATATATTTATAAAGGGAAATACAAATTTAACATACTCTTCAGTGAAATGGAGTATTTAAAAGGCTATCAAATTTAATTTATAATTAACGTTTTTAGTTTTTACCTGTTTCAAAAGAAAAAATAGCAATCTTTTAATCATATCTAATTTGCTATAGCAGTTTGATATAGTCAGACATTCATTTTCATTAAAGCTAAAATGAGTATGCAGAACTAAAAAATGATTATCAGAACAAATTTTGCTATTTCATGGACTTGGAATGATAATTTTTGCCACTGATTTTCTTGAATGAACAAGTACTGTAGTTGCAGTTATCTTGTTTTTCTTATCATTTTAAACTAAATTCAGCTGATTGCTGTCATTTTCAGCACGCAGATTTCTCGCTATAATGTTAATTCAGAAATAAGTATTTCTTAGCAAAACATTTTTCCCTATTAGCGAGCGTTCATCGCTACTTCTGCCGCCATTAATTTTTAGTCACTGCACCTGATTGCTCCTTTTTCACCACGTGACCCCAACGCAACCGCAGACATACGGATAGAAGTTGAACATTGTTGAACTCCATCCGTATGTCATCCGTCACCGCACACCGACCGGATTGCAGATGTCAATCAAAGTGAATTCGCTCGCTGATTGGAGAAACGCATACGCAGTAGTGGAAACGGGCCTTTACTGGCTAAAACGCAGACGTTCTGCGCATGACATGGCGTAACCTGTGAAAGAGAAAAATATTCGTGAGAAAACCAACGAGATAGTATACTGGTTATATGAAGTCGTTGGAGAAAACTCACATTGAGAGAGTTGAACTCACTCAATTGAACATTGAGGTCCTCTCAATGTTTTTCTAACTTCTTTATGAATAGATAGCGGCTGTATTGCGAATAAAGCAAAATAGAAATATTATTTTAAGCACAGATCGGGGTTAAAGATATCCGGTGCTCAGTTTGTAAAATTTAGGGACAGGTGGCTCCAACCAAAGGAGTTTTCGGGGGGGTCTGCTCCAAAACAACCCCAACACCTCCTTATAGAAGGAAGCCGGGACACTGAAGCGAGGGGAAGCTCTGACGTCACAGGTAGTCGTCTCTGACTCACCTCGCTCCTTCAAACAAAATCAAAGCCCCGTAGTTGAGCCAAGAGCGACGAACGTGGAGCGGTTATTTGCGTTAGCGACAGAGTTTTTATATTGTCTCGTGCTTTTTTTATATATTGTCTCGTGCTTTTATAATTTCATACGATGCCTCATAAATGTGCTGTAGCCACATGTCGTGGTAATTATAAAAACGGACCAAAAGTGGCTGTATTCAAGTTTCCAAATGAGACTGAACTCCGGATGAAATGGATAAGGAGTCTACGAAGAAAAGATGGCTTTCAACCTACTAAACATACCAGAGTAAGTTCAATTTTACTGCATTTTTTATGTTTTGTATCTTTACATTTTTTTATTACTTTTATTGATAGGTATGTGATGTTTATGCTTACGATATTAGATTTTGATCTGTGGGTAAGAAGTTTTATGTTTGAAAGATTTTAATCTTGCCTGTTTTAATCATTTCAAAAAAATATTTTCCTTCAAAGTTTTATGAATGAAATAAAGTTCCATATAACAGGAATAATTCTAAATTTAGTAGTTACATAAATGCCAATAATTTGTAAATGCTTTCTAGTATACTGTGCAGGCAGATTCTGTAGTTATTCCAAATTTATCATAATTTATATGACAAGGAACTACTAAGTAATCATAATAGGTTTCATTTTAAAATTTTTGTAATGATATATGAAAGTTTGGTATGATGTATTCAAGGTAATTATTTGTATTTGGTAACCAGTGTTTGTTGTAAACAATTATCTCAAATATATAATTTTCTTTAAATGTAAATAAAGCTGTAATCATTATGATGAGCATTCCAGATTTTACAAATTACTTAAATTATACACGTAATTGAAATGATATTACTGGTTTTTTAATTCGTATTTATGTATCAAATTATTTATTTAAATCATAGGGCTTATTGACTTCTGTTACTAAATATTAACATGCATCTAACTTTTGTACTCACAACAAGTTGATTTTTGAATATTTTCTTTTATAGGTATGTGAATTACATTTTCGATCAGATGAAATAATACGAGAAATCGAAATGTATGATGAGAAATCAGCGAAGTTAATTAAAGCCCCAATTTCTAGGCCACGTTTGAAAAAAGGATGCATACCTTCTCAGTTCCCTGATGGCCCATCCTACATGTCATCAAATTCTGTATCGAGAATGTCACCAGAAAAGAAGAAAGCTCGTTTAGAAGAGAAATACCTGGAGAAAGCGATAGAAGAAAGTTTGAAAATGAAAGAACGGTATGATAATGAACGATCATTTGAAAGTTTAATTGAATTCAATAATTGCCTAGAACATCAGATTTTAGAAACATTTTGGACAACTGTACATACTGAAAATTCAACTATGTTACTTGATATTTTAAGTGACCCAGCTCCAGAAATTCAGAAATCGGTAGTAATAAATGAGGATTTAACAGTATGTGTTTATATTAAAAACATCGCTATAAAATCTATTGGTAAATTTGTTTTCCCTCTAAAAATTAGTAATGTAAATATGTTTCTAGAAGTACTAAAGGAAGTTGAAAGTCTGTCTCATAACTTACAAAATGAAGAATATATTAAGAATTCTATACAAATTGTGGATGATATGCTTTCAGAATTGAAAAGAGTGTTACCTGAAAAAGAAACTGAACTGAACTTCCTTTCAGAGCAAGTAAATAAACTAAATGTAAAGAAAGAGAAGTATCGATATACTCCAGATTTACTTATTTTTTGCAGTTTGTTAAACTCGATCTCACCGCATGCATACAAGTTTTTACGACATTCAGGTTACATTTCTATTCCCCATCCACGTACTATTCGTAGAATTTGTTCAATGTTTTCTCTTAATCCTATTACTGAGCAATTTAATGATGACTTTTTAGGATATGTTAAACAAAGATGCAAGGATTTAGAAGAAAATGATAAAACTGTAATTATTATGAT